CTGCAAATAAACTTTTTACAAAGCTTAAAACTAGAATATTAAAAACTACTAATTTAGTTACCTGCCTAAAAGCGGTGAAAGCACAGCAGAAAAAATTAAATACTAACATTAAAACCAATATTAATCATAGACTACAATTATGATAGCTGTTTGTTCGCTTTACTGTTTTAACTTGTCCTGTCGGCTCTAGGTGCTGTAGCTTCAGCAATTACACCCCAAAACTTCTGTAGCTTTGGCTTGTTCCTTTCACTACAGCACACAGGGTAAAATATACCTGCTGGCACAGGAATGAGTCACTGTCATTTTCTTTATCTTATTTTTCTGTTGTTTTGTTTTTGTAAAAAAATATTTTTCTTTCCCTCCCCATAGTATTTTATTTCACAACAGTTTGGGGGAATAAATAAATTAGGTCTTTATTGAAGTCAGCAACTCTATCAAACTCTACCTGTTTTATATCAGGTTCTTGCTCTAAATAAAATTCAAGAATTAGATACTATAAAATGTTAGATCTTCAAATCAGAAACCCCCCCCGCAACTTCTGCAGTATCTGAATATGTCTATAGGAACCTTTGAAACTAGCAAATTTGGGCTACAGGAGAGATCATTTGGACAGTGTCCTATCTGTAACCTAGCTAATGATGTAGTTTTAAGCAATATGCTGCATAAAAAGAACCCAAATCTCCAAGTCTAATCAAATGAACATACAATGAGTGCTCCTTATGAAATGTGCCTTGCAGGATATTCTAACAGGATTGGGAATGCTTTAATAACTGAATAAACCTCCTTTTTTCCCTCTCCTCTCAGCTGTTGCAGCAGCACTATCTTTGCTTTAGAATAAAACCAGGATAGAGAGACATCTTTAACAAAGAGAAGCCAGTGAGTTTGGAGGGGGCTGCCATTAGAGAACAGCCCTCAAGGGCTTAGGCTTTCTGGTTGGAAGTTTCACCCTGAAATAGTGTGGAAAATACATGTTACTGCTGCCTAGGCTGTTGGGGGGTCTGGCTGCAGGATACCAGAGCAGCCAAGAAGGAATCTTGCAGTTAAGTATCTAGCATCTAGTTTTATCTACCTTTTTATAACCTAGATTCTAACTTTGTAATTGGAAATCTGACCTTATATTTGGTTAAACCTTTTTCTAACCCTTAAGATCGTGTTGTGTTAAAGATGAGTCTAGTAAAGCTGGCAGATATGCAGTGAGTTCCTCTTTGAAGGAAACAAATTGAGATTTAAGGACTGGAGATGGCTGTAAAGCCACAGTGACTGGTGGGCTGGAGCTGTCACATGGTGTGTTTTAAACAGCAACCTTCGGTGGGCACAGAGCCCAGTGCCTCTTCTGGAAGAAGCAGCTGATGAAGAGGCACCGTATTGCTCTGTTTATGGACTTGGAGCACAGTAGGACTGCACATGGAAAAAGAGGATGGAATTTAGCCCTATAATTGCAACTAACAACTCTTGTTCAATCGAGTTTTGGCTTTCTCGTCTTCTTATAGCTTTGTTGGTGCAGGATTTTAAACAGTGTAGAACAAGTACTAAATCCTTACTTTTGTAAGACAACAAAGCACAACAATCAAATTTAACAAGCTGCAATTAGACTAGTGGAGTCAGAACTTCAATTTCTAGGGCTACTTTGCAAACTCAAACCAGAGCTTTATGTTTCCAATGCAGAGGCACATATCAACATACCTGCACTTATAAAGCAGCCATTCTTCAGTGATCCATTTGCACAATAATTTCAATTGTGAAGAATACCATTGCTTTTTAACTGAATACAAAAAATGTTCTTAGAAAGATGAGCTATAATACACAATTACATCACAGCTATGCAGTCTGTAAGCGTAACTGATTTATGTTAGTTGCTCAACAGCTGGGGGTTGGACTTGATGATCCTTACAGGTCCCTTCCAGTGTGAGATGATCTATTCCATGATTCAGTAGACATTTAAGCGGCCAAAGAGATTTAACAGCGATGCTACCCATTTATTCACTCTCAAAGTCAAAAAGCTGTGTTAAATTTTTAGGGAAGTTTGTTATAAAGACCTCTTGTGTTTCTGAATTACGGTTGCTAAGGATCATTGTACTCAAAAAGCACCATCACTTTTGACACCAATGTGAAATGTGAATGTTGTTGAGGGCTGTGGCACTGAGTTACAGTTCCATTATGGAACATGCACCCACAGAAATCATTGCATTGAGTTCCCCAAGATGGGATTCACAAGAGTAAATAAATCCTCATCACAGTTCACTGCTCAGTGACTCATCTCTTCCACTTTAACCAATAGCAGCAAAAGCCCTGAGTTAAATTAGTGCAGGATTTCACAGACTCTGAATTCAACTGTTTAAGAAAGGTTTTATAAAGTTAGATTTTTTTTTTCAGTTTTATTATTCAGTAGTGTATTTGTTTAAAAGAGAAAACATTTGCTTCATGAAGCTTACAGTGTCTGCCAGCTCTGATCATGGAATGAACTAGTATTATAGAATCATAGACCTTAAAGATCATCCAGTCCAACCCCCTGCTATGGGCAGGGACACCTCCCACCAGATCAGGTTGCCCAAAGCCCAGACCAGCCTGGCTTTGAACACTTGCAGGGAGGAGGCATCCACAACTTCCCTGGGCAACCTGTGCTGTTGTCTCACCACCCTCACAGTGAAGAATTTCCTCCTAATATCCAGTCTAAATCTACCCTCTTCCAGTTTAAAACCATTCCCCTCATTCTGTCACTACCTGCCCTTGTAAAGTCCCTCCCCAGCTTTCCTGTAGGACCCCTTCAGGAACTGGAAGGCAGCAATAAGGTCTCCCCAGAGCCTTCTCTTCTCCAGGCTGAACAGCCCCAACTCTCTCAGCTGGTCCTCATAGGGGAGGTGCTCCAGCCCTCTGATCATCTTTGTGGCCCTCTTCTGGACCTGCTCCCAACAACTCAATATCCCTCTTATACTGAGGGCCCCAGAAATGGATGCAGTACTCCAGGTGGGGTCTCACAAGAACAGACTAGAGGGGCAGAATCACCTCCCTTGCCCTGCTGGCCATGCTTCTTTTGATGCAGCCCAGGATGCAATGGCCTTCTGGGCTGCAAGCATGCATTGCCAGCTCATGTTGAGTTTTTCATTGACCGACACCCCCAAGCCCTTCTCCTCAGGACTCCTCTCTCCAGCTATTCTCTGCCCAGCCTGTATTTGTGCTTGCAATTGCCAATAATAATATTGCCAATATAATAATTGATATTTATTTAAGCTATTCAAAAGTGGCTTGGAAGGAGTAGGCATCACATTGTTTTCTACCTGAACAGGCTTGTTTTTCCAAAGAGTGCAGGAAACCGAAGAGCAAATTCACAGCAGCGTTATTTCCCAATGTTTGGATACTTTTTCCACAGAGCTTCTGGAATCTGATTTTATTTCAGTCTCCTGAACTCTGCTGTGGCATGGTTTTAGAAGTAGGCATGTTTTATAAGCAGGCTACCAGCAGCTCAGGTAACCTGCAGTTTTTAAGTGGTGGTGTCTAAATCAAGCATTATAAACTGGGTCACTGAGATCAAGCACTGTATCCATAGCAAAAGCTTTACTTTGGAGTGAACCATTTAAGAAATTACAAACAGGATGTGGCTGCTTTCACAACTCACCTTCAAGAACAGACCCATTTTTGGCCAGTGAGACCTGCAGAAGGTCCAGCACTACGGAGCTCATCTCAAGCAGCCTGTTTCATAGGCCCATGTTTCTGCTCAAATGGATGAAGACAATCAGAAAGCAAAGATATGCGCCTACATCTGTGTGAGCAGTTTCTGTCATTTACATCAGTAATCTTTTCACTAGCCTAGTAAAAAGATTAACTTAACTAACCCATACTACTGCTTACGAGTTTACAGTAATTGATGTGCCAGTAACTACATATTTACGCAAAATATATTTAACAGGTGATGCCCGAGTTCATTAAATTGTACATAACCATTTACCAACCAAAATGCATAGTGCAGGAATATTCTGAAAGTCAGATTTCTAATTTAGGCTTTGAGGTCAAATATTTTACAGATCATAAATCAATTATTTTTTAATTTTCTAAGTAAATCTCCAAATATTGCTAAAGAAATGAAAATGAAACACTTCAAGTCAGCCAATATTAGGTTTTATATACTACAGATAATCTGATAGTTGTACCCAGACTTTTGGAATGAAAAATGCTGAATTATTGTATTCATGTGTCTGAATTTGCTCCTAAATATGACTTTACACGTTGTACTTGCATACATGTATTTAAAATTAATAGCAGTTGCCTAAGGCACAACTAAGCATGTTACAGGGATGTAAAATTTGTACCAAGATATGGCTCTCGGACAGCTGCAGAAGCAAGACTCTAGGGCCTACCTAATTTTTTTTTCCAGACTTAAGAGCAGCTCTGGTATTGTAAGTACAGCTTATGAGATGAAAGAAGAAAACTTAAGTTAACCTGAAGCTTGCCTAAACCTCATTTCCAGCAGTGCTTTCTTGTGGGCACAAAGTATACTAACAGCAAATATTGTAAGGAATTTTTACCCCAATCCAAACCTCAGACAGCAGAGGCCTGCCTGAACTGTAACACACTGAATACCCCATGAACTACGCTCCACCAGTGGTTCCACAGTATGAAATGAAGCAGGACAAAAAAAGTACAAGTGTAACTTAACGTGATGTTAAATGTGACTGAAAGTCAAATGGACCAGAAGGTCAAACGTCAGGAAATGCCTGTCTCAGTAGCTTTCTAACAACAGCGCTCTCTTCCAAGTGCTTGGCTGTAGGTCCGTTCACAATGTGGCTGTGCAAGCGTTTGAAACGGGAGTATTTTTTCCTTGAGGCTGTTTAAGAACATGCAGTGACTGTGTCCATGCACCCGTTTAAACTACCAACATGTTAGCAGTTGAGATGCATTCCTTACAAGGGCAAAGTAAATTTGAAGTCATTTAGGACAAGGAGCACAAATATTTGGGAATTAAACCACCTGGTACCAAAGACGATGACTGTGAAGGGTAGAATTGCTGGACCATCACTACAAACAATTGAAGCGAACTTTTATTGAAGCATTAAGTTGTGGTACAGATATTTTTAAATGATCCAAGTCTAACACCACAGAAATTATAAACACCATACTCCCCCCATCCTGATCACCCTAGATAGTTCAGTAACCCATTCAACAGCTTTCACTTTTATAGCCGAGGCTTATGCTTCCATTTGTAAAATGTGTATTTCAGTATTACTTGAAAAGGGATCTTCAGTCTACTTAAAGGACCTCAATGGGACAATGCTTAAGAACAAGAAACACACTCAAATATTGGTCCTCAGTATTAACACCAAAAAGCATTAGTGCCATTTACAGCATGTAATTGTTAACATTGGTAAAGAACATCAACAATATGCTCAAAATAATAAATTCAAAAATGTTCCAGCCACTTGATTTCTAACCAAGCAGACTTCAGTTCAGAAGCACTAAAAAAGTGCTTCATTTATAAATACAGAAGGAACAAAAAACCATTGCGTCAAACCAGAGAGTCAAAATATTGCAAGGACAAGAAGGGAAAAAAAAAATATCAATTTTGTAGTTAACATGCTGGTCTCACAGCTGTTAGAATCCCAGTATTTGCAAACATAGCTGAAAGTGTGCCAGCTCTTTAAAGCCTTCATTTTAGTCAATACCCATCCATTAAAGTGACTTTGAATTACACACTTATTCATGCTCTATGAATAGCTTTCTACTTCACTTCTGTCCAGGTGTCCCAGACAGTTCTTGTTCTATGCCTTCACTTAATGCCCTCAAGTCACAGTAAGAGGAACCACCTTAGTAATTAGGAGGAAAAAACAGATGAAGTCACAACACTCAAATACAACAGAAGTCACATGCACAACAATGTCACAGGACTGTCACGAGACAGAGGCATTAGCTTTGCTTGGAACAACAAAATGAAGTGACACTGGACCAGTTGAGATGCACTCTACAGTCAGAAGTGGTAGGTCACAGGTTTTGCCAAGATAATCCAAACCATTCAACACACCCAGCCTGGCACATTCCACTCCTTCACTGATCTACCTGCCAGCGCTCAGGAGCACCAGCTTCTCAGTCCGACATAACTGGCAATTAGGAAAGAAAGTGTCGGGTGCCAATACGAACTTGCACTTTGCAAAGCTGTCACACAACTATGCCAAAGCTCTTGCATCCTGACTCAGCTGTTCCTCAATCAAGTCTTGAACCATCTTCAAATTCTGCCATTGCATAGCAGTGTGACAGGTTGGGGATGTGGACAGATAAACGAGCATTAAGGTAAGATGAAATGTAACCTGCATTAGTACTGATACACAAGTTTCTAATGGTGAAAGACCAATACATTAGCTCAGCCTATGGTATCACTGAGCAAACTGCTATAAGCTTGAGTAGAGCATGAAAAGTCAGTCCGATTAAAAAAATAAATCAACCACCACCTGTGATAGCAAAACAATTTGTAACTGTTTTAAGAACTTCCTCCAAACTTGAAAGTGTTAATTAGGAATCAGTTTCATTAGAAATCCTAAGTTTGTCAAAAATTGTTTTAGACTGAAATCACAAGATGAAAAAGTGAAAATTTAACAGAGAACCGTCCCCAGAGAGAGTAGGTTCAGGCTAAAGTCTAATGAGGACGAAAGCCTTGTCTGTGGGGAATTTTTGGTGATACCTGGAGAAAAACTATACTGTGTGTAATTCTACCTGAATCATTTTTACAAGTGTTGTAAAGTTTCATACAGTAAGATTTTTCTACATGCACTTCAATTTCACAGCAAGAGTGGCATAGAGTACCTAAACACAGAAGAGAGCATTCATGCAAGATATCTAACTCCTTGATATAATAATGCATACAATTTAAAATGGTTATACTATGATTACACCTAGGGCTTTCCACAACTACAAGGTGGTGGGAGTGGAAAGCATGGCCCCCTGAATCATTAACTAGAAAGCAACCACCACCTTCTATATGGGATTTCTTTTTGCGTTTTTTCTTCATTCTTAATCAACTGTGCTGTTGCTGGCGATTTTTTGTGAAACTGGTAAAAACAAAATTATAATCACTGAATTGGGCAATCTGGTGATCAAGACGTTTAAACCCTTCAATCTTCTGGGCAGAAGAAAACACTGTACGACATTTAGAGCTCTAAAAAAACAAAAAGGCAAAAGTTTATTACTTTAAGATTAGCATTTAGACAAGGACTAGAACAATATGTATCTTATGTGTGGTTCTGGTGATACCAACATGCTTCAAAACCCCATGTCTGCCTGTGCTGCAGGAAGTTTCAATCCTAAGCAGTGATTCTGCTACGTACAGTACTGCTCTTCTATGAGCTGGCAGCACCACCACTAACAGCAGTGCTTGTGCAATTGACAGCTGCAGCCAAATCCAAGAAAACACCAAAGCAAGAAATTATGCCTGTACAGAACTGCACAGGAAGCCATTAAAGAGATTGGACTGCCTTGTCTTAGTATTTCTTAAGATTTCTGGAGGTCAGATTTAGTGCATGCCAAAGCAACACTGAAAAGTAATTTTTGCTTTCCAAAGAAACTACCATCAAAATAGAGGCAAGCTGTAAACTACTAACCCCTCAGTAAAAATATTCTCTAGCCTTGCTTTCTTTGTGTCTATATGCACTTCAGGAGCTGACAAGCTAATGCAGGAAAACTCACCTGATTAACAAAGAGAGTTGTCACAAATTTTCCTGGCTTGAAAACCTCTACAACTTTCCTAATCAGGTCATCATACGAGGTCTGACTTATGTTTGTTTCAAAACTAACGTAAGAAAACTCTGGTTCTGGAGTGATGTGAATAGTCCAGTAAGTTCCCTGAAAAAAATAATGTATTATTACTGCCAAATAATTACTACTTATTTTAACATTAATTATCAATAAATATAAAACTTACATCCGATTTCATCCCATTCATTGAATACCCACAAGGATTGAACATTGTAGCATCAATAACAGAACCTGGTATCAGGTCACGAATTCCACTCATCTGAAACAGAAGTTAAAATTGCATCACTCAGTTTACTGTGCACTCTTGAACTCGTTATCTATTTCAAAGGCAGAATGAGCACCAATTTAGGGGACAGCATACCACAATTCTCCCAATAACAAGTCAGTTTGATACTCTGTACTGCTGTATAGGAACTTGCTTTGTACCCCGTCTCTTACCAAGTGACTGAGTGCCAAGTTGCATGCAAGTTATCAGACACACTTCCTCTTACAGAGCCAAGCTGCATATGTCCAAGACGAAGAAGAACTTTGAATTCTAATACACAATTGCTTCTACAACAATGATGGAAAACAGAGCTCCTGTTCTACTAGCATCCACAAAGTGAAGGCTGTATACATTTACTCCAGAACGAGAACAGACCACTTTAGAATGAAGTGCAATGCCAAGCTCTTTCATTTCCCAAACAATACCTGAGCTACAGCCAAATCTCAATAGCAAAACACAGTGTAAGAATCAAAGCCTGAAGTGGAAAACCAGATGAAGTCAGAGAAACTTTTTCAGGTCACAGGACTTTCCCATTTGGAAAAAAGGGGAAAAGGAGACAAAATCATCAAGTTATCCTTAGACCTTACATGCTATCCCCTCCAACTATCCAAATGGCTCCATGATTTAACCTTGATTTTGATACCTAGATTCCCTTGGCACTCATCTTCAGTCTAAGTCTTATTCCTCATAATCTCCATCCTTCAGTGCAAGCTACTAAATTGTACTTTTACTTCTAATCCTCCATATTTCAGAAAATAAGCTTCCAATCACCCAAGGCACTGCATACTGCTCCTTTCAATAGATTAAAGCAGGAACATTGAAAACATTGTTATACTCCCAAAAACATTACAGAGTTAAATGCATTTTACCCCCAAAACATAAACCTGGCATTTTCTGAGATATCTCCTACCAAAAAATAAACCTTGTGTTAAACGGTAAGTGAAGCATTTTGTTGCCCAATTTCCACCATTCCCAAAAATGCTTAGTTCTCAAGCAAACATACACGAGTGACATCATTTGCAGTAACACCATCTTTCATGTAGAACTGGTCCATAACTACTGGGTCAAGCTCACTCATCAGAATTTCCAGTGTCTGATCAGGCTGATTGGATATCCGACTCTCTGGGAAATCCAGGGTGTACAGGTACCTGTATAAAACACAAATCAAGTATAAAATAAGCATCAGCAGCACCAAGTTCCGTTCCACCCAAAGATTTCAAAATCTTCACATACATACCAGCAATCAGAATTCATACGCCCCATGCAATAAGCTGCTCCATCTGACAAGACAAAAAGTCTCCAGTTAATGTACCACAGCTTATCCTTTATGTAAAAGATTAACTTCATTTCATGTTTAAACATAGCAGAAGTCTTTCACAGAACACTGAGAGGGAGGTCCACTGATACAGTCAGCATCTGTATCAAATAAGCAGGCATTTAACATCAGGAATGCAAAGCCAAGAATCAGAAAAACAGGCTCCCTCAGAAAGTAGTCTGGACATAAGTTCAGAGCCTACTATCAGGAAATTCAGATTACAGCTTTAGCTACACACAGACAGAAACCACAGTATTATTAAGCATTTATTTAATGAATTTATTATTTGTATTTATTTTCAAATTCAGTTAAGTACTACAGCTTTCATGTTTCTTCAGAAAGTTTTTCTGCCAGTGGTTAAAAGTCAAGGTTATTCTTGTAGGTTTTAGATTTTTTTATTAAGCATTAATCTTTAGTGCAGTGACTTTTTTTTCTTCAGCATTACCTTAAATTACTGTTCTACCTTTCTAATGAAGCTTATAGCGTTAGTGAGAGCTGGATTCTGCAGACTGACTTGCTACACTCCATTTGGAAGTGAAGATAACCCCAGTTAACACAAAGTGTCAAATATCAACCTTGGTATTATTTATGTTTTGATCTTGGCAAGTCAGTGTAATTCAGAAAATAAGTATTTATAGCTTTGGATTTTTATGCAGCTGAATCTTGTATTCACTACAGAACCACAAGGACTGCTGTATAAGCGGCCTGACAGCCTGCACATACTGTACTGCTAGTCACTCCTCACTTCACATCAACACTTCACGCAAGCTGTGCAACTCTGCTGCAGATTAATGAACTTACTTGGGAAAATTTCATTAAGAAACTCCACTTCTTCCTGGAAATTCCTATGTGGGTACTCCTGGTGGGAAGGCTTCATGAAATTCTTACGTGAATAAAAGAAGCTCTGAAAAAATAAAGATGCATCTTAGATACTGAATATATCTGTCCACCTTGAATGTAAAAATTGAGAAAAACGCAAGTATTAAGTATAAGCTTTTACAGGTCTTAAGTTTTCATTGTCAAAACTCTGCTACCTGTTTCCATTTCAGAGGCATATGGTTTTTCCTAGCTTAATTTGTAAGCTACAGGAGACAGCTTACTTCCAAATCTGTTTTCCACAAGAAAACAGGGACTTCAGCACTGACAACACGGGCATGGAAGCCTTTTGCCCTCAAGTGACCTTAACTCAGCGCACAACAGCATTTATAAGTTCACAGAATCACAGAACGTTAGGGATTGGAAGGGACCTCAAAAGATCATCCAGTCCAATCCCCCTGCCGGAGCAGGAACACCTAGATGAGGTTGCACAGGAAGGCGTCCAGGCGGGTTTTGAATGTCTCCAGAGAAGGAGACTCCACAACCTCTCTGGGCAGCCTGTTCCAGTGCTCTGTCACCCTCACTGAGAAGAAGTTTCTTCTCAATTTTAAGTGGAACCTCCTGTGTTCCAATTTGTGTCCGTAAGTTAGCATCCTTTAAGAGGCAAATAGGAGGCGAAATCCTACAGCAGGACAATCACTCTTATATTAGTCTTCCCATTATGGGACACATACATAAATTGCAAAAGAATTTTCAGAATATTAAACAAAATTAATGAATTTGAAATATTAGTAAAAAGCTTTTTGCACATTCTAAGGAGGATGCAGCCTTTTTTGCACCTTACCTGAATTGAGTCAAACCCACTGTACTCCCTAGCAAGCTCCAACAGGGGAACCAGTGCTTGCAGTAAGAGGGTGGTACCACACGTCTTCAAAATGAAACGTCTCTTGGAGACAAACATGCTACTCTCACTGTAAAAAAGAAAAGTATGTGTTAAAAATATATTAAGTGCTCTATATATGACAAGCCAGCAGAGAATGGTTAGATCTTGGATCTCATCCCAACCAAATGCATTACTGTAAGTGAACATTCAGCACATGGTACATAAACATGGTTGGCAAATGGATCAAACCAGTAGATTTTAGCTAACATTTGAGAGCTGTTAGAATTTCCCAAAAGAAATAACTGGTGCAAAAGTGATATTACACAGCTTCCACGATACAGAGAAAGAGTTACTACATGCATTACATATCCTCAATCTATCCAAGAAATACAAGCAGGCTGTGAAGTGGGTACACAACAGACATGCACTTTAATTTCTTAACCCAGTCCAAACAGGGTCAAACTTGAAATCTAACTTTCTCAAGCTGAAATAAAACCTATGGGGAAAGTCAACTCAAAAAAGGCAAAAACCTTAACAGAATTTCTAGGGAAGCTGACAATTCAGTACCTGTACAAAGGAACAGGAAGTCTCATAATGAAAGTATAGGCACAGCTATGCGATATGTCTTACAGAAATGAACTATACATAAACTGTATCTTGTGTAAGTCAGATACTTAACTACAGTTCCACTGAACTGGAAATTAGCATTGATACCATACCCAGAACACCTACACATGTATAACAAGTTGAATAGTGAGAAGTCTAGCTTAAATAACTGTCTGGAATGCTGTTTAAGAATTTGAAGTAAAGGTTTATTTCATCCAGGCTACAGTTATAACTAGTAACATTTTCAGAATTGTCTTAAATATAGAAAGCTCGCAGAAACCAGACTTCAGCAGTTTCTTTGACTAGCCTGCTCTTAGCCCAACCTTGCCCTCAAGGCAGTCTTTCAGAGTACAAAAGCTTCAGTTTTTGTAATCTGAAGTAAAACAGAGAATGTCAATGTGTCTGTAAAGTTCATGTAGAAAAAGCACTAAAGTATTTTGCAAGATGAAAAAGACATGGCAAAAGTAGTATCCTTACAATTAACTGCTGCACAACAGAAAAATTCCAAGATTTCAGGGAAGTTACATTTTTACAGACAACCTTTGCTCAGCTGCAAGAGTTGTTCCACTCAACTGCACTATCTGGAGTTAAAGCCGATCTACTGATACAGTTTTTGCTGATCTAAAAGTGACACTTACATGCACTGTCTGCTGAACTAATCCTAAACCTCTTAATTGGGGAGACTTATTTATCCTTGGACAAAATTCAATGATCAGGTACAGAAACACCACAGCCCTGTCCTTAATCCTTTTAGTTAAAGAAAAAAGACAAGCAGCACTGATAACTATGAAGACATTTCCACCACTGAAAAGAAGCAAGATGGTATCATGATAAGCAGACCCCTGCAAGATGTAGTCATGAACAGCAGGATCATAACCTAAGATTGGATTCTCAGCCAAGCAGATTCTGTGTGACAGCTTTAACTTTTTTACCTCCTGGAGACAAAGAATAATCTAGTGGCTTACCTGAGTACATAAGCTTCCTGCTTGTCAGTTTTTGTCACACTTATGATCAAACAATGCACATTCTCCAGAAGTTTGTCCCACTCAATCCTGTGAAGAAATTACAGGAGAACACAACAGGTTAAACAAACAGAAGCTTTCTGGAACCCTGGGTAAGAAGTATAGCCCAAATAAGACTATAGCTCTTGTTTTGAGTTGTTGGATCTGAGAGCACAAAAAGCGAGGACTTTTTATATAGAAACTGTCTATCACAATAGAGTAATATCCAATTCTTAGCTCTCAATGAATGGCTGAGTATCCCTCAGTATCCCCAGTAGTGTAATCTGCTGCACAAGGACAACAGACAAACAGCAACCCTGAGCTTCTAAGTAGGCAATAACCTCAAGTCCTGCATCCCACATGCACTAAGATAGGTATACTTTAGGTTGAATCTCCATGTACTTCCACCACAGTAGTCACTGGCAACTACTAGAATAATAAACCAGCAAATTCACAGTCAAATTCATAATTTAAGTGAAAACCAGTCCTAAAAACTAATACATCCCAATGCCTGAATCCCTCTTTGATCAATCAGGATCATAGAATTTCAAAGATACAGAAGATTTAGAGTAAATATTTCAGAATATTACACTAACAAGAAAATGCAACTATTTTAATATAGTGCAAGTTGAAGTTCCAGTGCTAGGTTTCAGTATAGTGGTAGAAGTTTAATATTTTAATTCTTTACTGGTTTTACTCCTTCTACAAGGAATTTTATTAAGAAACTAAAAAAATTCTATGGACTCATATTAAGGCGAAAGAATTCCAAATAGTCATGAGAAATGTCAGACTTGCAAAAAACTACTTTGGTTGTCACTTCAGACTTGTGTCTACACCAGATCAGAAGAATCCAATATAGTCAAATTTACTGTAAGGCAGAGAGGAACACACACAGCTTCCTGAAGTTGCAAAATCACAAGACTGCCAGCTGCCCTACTTCTCCCATTCCTCTCTTCCCACAGCATATTCCACCTGCAGGTTTGTGCTGCTTCTTGTGCTTAGACTTGTTACAAACCAAGAAATTTACTAACCCATCATAAAAATTAAGCTACCCATCAGTAGAGCCGGATCAACCATGGGACCCCTTTAGCAACTAGGAGCACAAAAAATTGCAATTTTTTCATCCCCAAGCAAGCTATTGGATTGGCTCAGCTGCCCATGTAACTGTCAGCCTGATTCTTCCTCAGGAGCCAGACCTCTCTCCCTTTACTGACATTGCAAAAACTCTCATTTTACCTCAGGACACAGCATTCAGTTAATTTTACCAGCAGGGATTCTCCAGCAGCCACCAATCTTTTTCCCCCCTTACAAAACTCACCAGTTGGCAAAGATTAAGTTTTAGACTCTGCTGCACATAAAACTAAAATGCATCTTGAAATCCCCCATAATTAAGTGCACATCCAAACAAGTTTATAAACTCAATTATATAACTGGATATTTAAAATCCAAGTGAGGTTTTCCCTAGCATCACAGTGAACCCTGATTAAATACTCTTCTGCAACTACAGACATGACAGCACAGACCACTCAATCTGCATGTGAAACTAAAAAGCAGCTTGTTTTTAATGCTGAATGAAGTCTCACACATTTATTCAGCTTTATGCTTAAGTCACTGAATGGGTTTAGCTCTTCCTGTAAACTGAACTAGGTAATGTGTTACTTTGGTGTGATGGAGTAACTCATCCCAACACCACTAATGGTGATACTTTATCTGCCAGTAAAGAAACACACCCTGTGTCTGACATAACTTTTAGGAAAGCTGAGGCAGAGTTCCCTTACACTGCCAGATGCTGACCTGCACTAACTCCATTTGTACATTAATACAAATCTGATTTTGTCTGAGCATTAACGGGTATGTAGCTCTCTTGAGCTTTGCAAGAGCACACACCTCAGCCTTCACAAGCTTCTTACTTGGCCAAACAATTCAAAACCTTAGCTTTATGTAGACATGTGAGAATTTTTTGTAAGTAACATTGTACTGCAGCACCAGACATTTCAGGAAAATGTCAAGTCATTTAAGTTCCAATCACATATCAGTAAAGGAACAATTTTGATGTTCAAGTAGTTAAGAAATGAAGGATCAGTACAGCATATTAACAATACAATATTGCATATTAAGTCCAAAGCCTACCATGCAAAGTAAGTACCTAGGTTATGCTCACTGGTACCACAGTTGGTATTTAGGTACTATGGCTGAAATCTGCAATTGCACAAGACCTCTGCATATTAAGACTTGCCTCGACTTTTCACTATTCCACTGCAGATACCACAGCTAAGCACACACTAATTGTCCACATGTTCAGCCTTTGCAGAAACAAAGGGGAAGTTCATAACTTGATTTGACTAGAAGCATTAAGGAAGAAAGTCTAGAAACATGAGATGTCAGGCTTGATTCAGAAGCACAAAGAAAACAGACTAACAAAGGGCTGCTGCACCAAGGATGAGACTTTGCAACGTTAGGAGAAATATCAGAGATACTGGCCTGTACCTATATGGATTTTCAAGCTAAGCACAGGAAACTACAGAAAGGCCACTAACATGCTGGATTTGATCTCAAAATAATCTATTTAAACAAGATGACCTTAGTATTTGACATTTTCCATTGTTTAAAGCAGAGCTAAGGAAGAACATCTGGGACTACTTTGTACTAAATAGACTGAGTTCACTAAAAGTCTAACTCTTACATTTCTTCCTTTGCTTTAATCTGTATAATTACTTGTTTCCAGCTAGAGGCAAGCAATGTCCACTCTCACTTAACGTAAAAACAAAAGACACTTGAAAAAAGTATTTCAATGACTATCTGTACATGCATTGTGGCTAATCCCATTTTGTTTTGTCAAGTAAAAATCCTCACAGTAACTGTGAAATATTTGAGAACAGCACTTCCTATTTCATAATGAACTTTTAAATGGGAAGCAAAGCCTCCAACTGAAAAGGGAGAACCAAAGAGACTAATCCTCAATAAAACGCTATCATGGGCTTCTGCTCTTCAAAAATCTCACTTTCAATGGGAAGTATGGAGACTGCATTACTATTTCCTAAATTATTTCCTGTAGACAGATATCAGGACAAACCCAAACACTGTCTGGAGACCACTTCCCTATAGTCAAGCCAAGCATATGAAAATAAGATGCACGAGAATCACAGATAGCCAAGTAACTTCTGTAGCAGACCAGCGTTCACTGGAACTCCAAGCTTAAAATTCATTTCAGACCAACTCCTGTTATGCAGGCATATTACCCACCTCATTCCAAAACTGTATGATCCTGTTTCTGAAATATCAAATAACTGACACCTACTGAAAGTCAATAGTTTTTCCAACAGGCAAGCAACATGCATCTTAACTAGTTGCACATGTTGAGAGAATACCAAATGAAAATTGAATACTTTTACTCAAGTGTAGCTGTCCGCGCTCAAATGGCAGAAAGCTCCTTGCTCTTGACTAGCAGAACATGCTAAAAGAAAAAAAAATAAAACCAAAACGCCACAAATTGGCAATCTCCTCTTATACCCGTGTTGCAATGTTTAGCACCTTATCAGCACAGACTTGTTACCAGAATGCAAATAACTTCCATTTAGACTGCACTCAGGTATGTCAGTATGGAAAACCTACAAGAAATATTTTATTTATAGCAAGTATGCTTAAACTGTGTAATGAAGTAAATAGTCAGTTCCTTTCATCCAAGTCCTAAACCATCATGTTTGCTCCTTTATTTCGTATTTCTGTCAAAGAATGAATAAGCTACAAATCAAGTTTTCCTTTGCAGATAAAGCCATACTTTTGAATGCAAGTTATCAGCTTATTCCAAGCCTGTATCTTTGGGTGTAAAACAAGTTCTTAACACAGGAGCCAAGCATATCAGACCAGCACAATGGCACTGTTTCAGGTCACCTGGGAAGGGGCAACAGCAATCTGAAGAGATAAGGAACTACATCCAGAACTTGTTCCCATCAGCAATTAAGAGCCTCCACAAACATCCCATCCCACCACCCCAGTAACAGCACCTGGCTAACACAGCCCACACAGCACTGTGAGGAAAAGTTGTTTTGCAGTAGGGCAGGAATTCTCAGGAAATAAATCCTCTGAAACTCCTAAAGACAGCTTAAGCTGTATACATATTCTTGCATAGCTTTTCATTAAAACAGAACAGCTGACAAGTCTGTAGTAATCAGAGTAATAAGCATTTTAATCTTTACTGTAAGACCTTGTTTAAAAATCAAGCATTCAACTGCAGAGCAACTTTTTAAATCTTCACCTGTTACCTTCTAAATGTTTTCAGAAGCCAGCAAACATATCCATTACCTCATTAGCAGGCTACAGTTAAGCAGGCAAATTCCTACCAATACCACGATCCAGAACAGTCAAACTTAATGCCTTGTCTAAACTGGCTCTACAGAGAAGCCGCAGCTGAAAGAGCATGCAAGCTGCACACTGACACTAATTATCAGTGTCAGCAGGGCTGCAACATCAGTTTGAAGTGTCCTGAAACAGGGACAACTACACAAAAATCTCAAGCTTAGCAGCTGCTGTATTTCTTTGCAGACAGACGCATGTGAATTATTTCATAGATTTATAACTTCATTTATAAATTTCTGTTGAAGATAGATTATCTTGAACTATGCCCACGCTGTGAGTTTAGAAACAAGACACTAGCAATTTGATAATTTTACTTCAGCAGTACCTGTGAAGCACACAAAAACCACACACCCTCTGTATGCTCTGAGCATAGATATACAGGAAGACCATCTGTATCTCCCCTACCTTCACCACTCCAGGGACATGCAATTAATCTTGAGTTGAAGACAGGCACCTGAATGGAAAATTGCATCCACATCCAAAGTGACTGCAAGCAGTAGTCCTCATAAAATACTTCTTACATACAAGATCTTGAGCCAACCAGTGAAGAGAATCATTCCCAAATGACACCAAAATATTTCAGCAATGGCACAAAGGTGGCCACAGATAGCACTTTAAAGGCTGCACATTGCTCCTGCTGCAGGACTTTCATCATTAATGCAGTTCCAGCAGCATATGTGGAATGGTCACTCCATC